TGTCTCCCCCTCAGACTGGGGCTCCCTGAGGACAGGGCTGTGTCTCCCCTCAGACTAGGGCTCCCTGAGGGCAGGGCTGTGTCTCCCCTCAGACTGGAGCTCCCTGAGGGCAGGGCTGTGTCACCCCTCAGACTGGGGCTCCCTGGGGCAGAACTGTGTCTCCCCTCAGACTGGGGCTCCCTAAGGGCAGGGCTGTGTCCCCCCCTCATACTGGGGCTCCCTGAGGGCAGGGCTGTATCACCCCTCAGACTGGGGCTCCCTGAGGGCAGGGCTGTGTCTCCCCCTCAGACTGGGGCTCCCTGAGGACAGGACTGTGTCTCCCCTCAGACTAGGGCTCCTGAGGACGGGGCTGTGTCTCCCCCTCAGACTGGGGCTCAGACAGGCACTTTCCCTCTGCCTTCAGTCTCTTCCTGCACCAGCAGGGACAAGACTCCACCACTGCATGTCTTACTCTCCTTCCTAGGGACTTAAATGGTCCCCTGCAGTTAGAAACATCAGGTGAGAGGACTCCAGAGTCAGAGGAAAAGACAGACAGACAGACAATCAGGGACAGGCTGGAGTTTCCAGGGTGGGAAAGGGGCTTTACCTACCTCCCTCCACTGCTTGTTCTCCATCCCTTGAGTATACATGACACATACTGTGGGGAGAGGAGAAAAAAACTGTTAACACCCCATGCCAAGAGGAAGGTAGGGGCCCCAGATGGGGAGGGCCCTGGAGGGCAGGCACCTCAGGAGACTCTGGCCTGGGCAGCACCGTTGGGTGTGGGTGGGGTGGTGTCTGGAGAAGCGGGCCTAGAACATTGGTGTGTCTGGGAGGGGCACTCTTTGGGAGGGGGGTCCGGGGCCATTCGCATCTAGGCCAGAGCAAGTGTGAAGTGTGAGGCAGGTAGACAGGTTGGCATGATGGAGGACTGGGTGGCAGAGGTGTGGTGGGAGAGAGCATCTGAAACTGCCTTGTCCCATTAGAGCCCAAGGCAGCTTCATGAGGCCCATTATTATCATCAGCGCCACTTCACTGAAGGGAAACTGAGGCTCAGAGAAGGCCAATGACCTGTCTGAGGTCATATACTTGAGCAGCATTGCCCAGGACTAGAAGCCTAGGCTCCAAAATCAGTGCTCGTCCCCTTGGATCACAACCAGTTGGGGCTCTTAAATGCACTGGTTTCCCTGGGACTCAGACCTGCTGGCCCAGACACCCTGACCCCTCCCCCACCAGCTCGGCTGTGTTGAGGCTTCACAAGTACGGGGAATGGGACGGGTCAGACCTCCCGGCTCTCTTTCTCTGGACAGTATCTTCTACGAAACATTAAACAGCCTTGATGCACCTTAGACGGTGCCTGGCACATAGTTAGCACTCAGTAAAGGCGCTGGTGTCGGCTGCTGCAATCAGTCATGATGCTGAGCTATTCCTGTTACTGTTATTATTGTCAGAGCAGGACTTACGTGGGTCAGACTTGGAAAACATGTCTTTGTCCAAAAGGTTCCTGAAAGAGGGGGAGAGAGCAGGAGTTAGCACAGCTCGGGAGAGGAGGTGATCTCGGGGGATTCAGACTCTTACTGAGACCCAGAGGCTGCCGAGGGGCTGGCCTCGGCAAAACAGGAAGGGCAGGCGGCTCCTTCAGCACGCGTTTATTAGGCGCTCATTAAAGCCTGGCCGACCTTGGAGGTTCCTCAGCACCGCCTTCCTAGGGAGTGTGGCACTTCCTACCCTCCATGCCCACCATCGCCACACACACACACACACACACACACACACACACACACGCCCCTGTGTACCCAGGTGCCCTGCATCCCACAACCCCTCGCACTAGGACCAAATCCCAATTTGCTCAATGTCTTAGCCTGTTCTAGAAATTCTCCTCTTACCACTTCTCTGTCTCTCAAAAAAACAAAATAAAATCAAGCAATCAGGGGCCGGCCTGGTGGCACAGCGGTTAAGTGCGCACGCTCCGCTTCGGTGGCCTGGGGTTCGCAGGTTCGGATTCCAGGCGCACACTGACTCACTGCTTGTCAAGCCATGTTGTGGCGGCGTCCCATATAAAGTAGAGGAATAAGGGCACAGATGTTAGCCCAGAGCCAGTCCTTCTCAGTAAAAAAGAGGAAGATTGGCATCAGATGTTAGCTCAGGGCTGATCTTCCTCACAAAACACACACACACACACAAACAAATAAACAAAAATCAAGCAATCAAAACTTATCCATCCAGTGTCCCATCTCTCAGGGTTCTACTTACAGCCAGTTTATTCCATCGTCTCATCTGTGCTGATGGATTAATGAATTACACGTCCCAGGGGATGCAGACCCATTTGAACAGGGTCTTTCTGTGGTCAAGGCCAGAGCTAAGACATGGCCCTAATAATCAGACTTGAAGGCACTGCAGCAAGACACAGCATTTGGGGACGGAGCGGTCTTTGAACAGGTAAGTGCTGGGCCCCTCCTGCCCTGCCTCCGCGCAGTCACAGCTCCCATGCATTGAACCCCCGTGATGGGTCAGGCTCTGGCCCAAGTGTTCTGCAAATATCCTCACACTGCCCTGCAAGGTCAGCATTGGGCAGGCATCATCCCATCTTCCAGATGTGAAAGTGGAGACGGAGGGAGATCAGGCAAGGGGATGTCCCGCCTATCTGGTGTCCCTCATTCTACAGTGACCTGTTGCTGGCAGGAAGCAACACAGACACTGGAAACTTGGTTTCTGGCTGAGAAGCGACTCAACCTCTCTGAGCCTCTGTTTCCTCATCTGTACAATGGAGAAAATAGTGCCAGGCTTGAAGGTTGTTGATGCCCTCCCCTGTCTCCTCAGCCCTCCTAGTTCCTGTACGTGCTCACCCACCGTTTCCTCCTGGCCTGCTTCTCTCCCAAGGGCTTTCTCTGGCAGGCCAGGCTGCAAATCCCAGGAAGTTTAGGCTCCCCAGGGCAGCCCTCAACCAATGATGGGCAGGTGTTGGCTGATAAATACCCGCTTCCTCACCGCCCCACGCCAGGAGACAGCTCTGAGGCATGTCCCACAGTCTCCCAGAGGGGCCCAGTGGGACCGAGCCCCAGTGGCCCACCAGGAGACCTGCTCATGGAAGACCCTTGTTGACTTGGGCAAGGGCCCGCTCATGCTCCACTTCTGAAGGAGCTTCCCACCAGCCTTCCTGCCTGTGCAAGCTACTGACTCCCTCCTACTGCCCTAAAGTTAAGCTCTGCCCTTGCCAGTCATCTCAGCCTTGTCCCACCTCCCTCCCAGATGTCCCCAGGGGTCTTCTCACCTCCTCCCTCCACTCCCACACTCCCCCACAGACCCCTCTGCTCCCTGAACCCCTTTCCCAAAGAGGAGAAACAATGGACTCTGGTCTGCGTGGCTTCCTGACAGCCAACCCCCAATGTCAGAGCTGGATGGAACCCTTAGGATCATCTGTTCTACCTTCTTCTTGAGGAGGGGGAGACTGAGGCCCAGGGAGGGGCAAGGAGTGGCCACACCCCACAGCAAGCAGTGGCAGAGTCAGAAAGATCTAGAAGGAGGCTTTACCTTGGGTCACCATCACCAAAGCCATCAGGAGTGACAGCCTGTCTGGGCAACTTGACCCCACAGTCAATCCCACTGCCCATGCCTCCATCCGGAGGTGAGAGCCAAAGACCAACTGACAGACAGACAGATGGATGCAGCAGCAACCTGGTGCCAGCACATGGCATCTCCTGCTGCCTGGGGAGGCCCCAGATGGTGCTCATGAATCACCCCAGCTCTGGGCCCTGAGCAGATTCCCAGAGATGTCCCCGAGAGAGGGATCCCCAGATCCCCATCCTCCATTCCAGTCTCTTCATTCAGGGGCCTCTCCCCAAAGGCAGCCACCCCCAGCTAGCCCTCCATGACCCCACAGGCACACAACCCCTCTGCTGGCCCCCACCACACCTCCACCAGACCTGCTCCCAGCCAGCGGTCACTTTGGAAACTATCTGATAAACCTCCCAGCCCACTGCAGTGAGCGTCAGATGAAATGATACACAAGGCGGCTCTGAAAAGTAGACAGCAGGGGCTAGAGGTAAGATATCACTTTTATATATGCTCGTCCACACCGAGGTGGGCTGATCTATAGCTGAGCTGACCTTCTCCTCCATGTGCTAGGTTTAGGGGCAGGAGCGTCTGTCTTGACTTAAAGAAAGGACAAAATGCCTTAACACCAAAGATGACTCTACAGTGGTAGAACTTGAGGCACGGTAAGGAGCTGGAAAGTAATGAAGAGGGTTGGGGGGGTGGGGGGGTTGGACTACTCTACTAAAGCAAGTGCTGGGGGTTATCTTTGAATTCTATAATGAAATTCTATAATTACATAAAATCCTAGAATGTTCAAGCTGGAAGGGACCTCAGAGGTCACCTTTTCCAATTCCTTCATAAATCAGGAATGTGAGACTCAGAGAGAGGTCAATTGACTTCTCAAAGGTCTGGGTCTCCTCCAAGTTTGGGTCTGGAACTCAGGTTTAGTCATGTCTAGGCTATTGAGAAATAGAGTGAGACCGTGAATTTTAGCCTAAATGTGTGTGTGTGTGTGTGTGTGTGCGTGTGTGTGTGTGTGTGTGTGTGAGAGAGAGAGAAAGAGATGGGTTCTTATCTTCAAAGAGAAGCAGAAGAGGCTTTTCTTGGCCCCACTTGCCCTCCCAGCTGGGTGAGAGGCACACAGCTGGACTAAGAAATAGAATCCAGCCATCTTGCTTCAGTGGCTCCCTGCCCAGTGACCTCAGGACTCTCACTGAGCCCTGGGGCATGGGTCATCCTGGCCACAGCACCCGAGGGTAATACAAACCCTCTTCCCTCCACTCTGCTGAGACGACCTTCCAGACCCATTCCTATCCTTCCTCTTTCATTTTGCCTTCCCTGGACAGACACTGACGCACCACCACCTCCTCTCCCCTCCCCTGAGCTCTCTCTGGCCTGTTCTGTGCAACCCTCTGACTTGTAGGACCCCATAACTGTACTTAGCACACCCTGGGCTGCAAAAGCAGGGGTGCATCTGTCTTTCACACCGGCTGTGCACTCCTCGAGGGCAGGGACCCCACCTCTGACGCCAGCCAGCCCAGCACCTGACTCAGAGCAGGCGCCTGGCAAATTGGATGGAGGAAGGAAGACCAAAAGGAATGGCCAGACAGGTGAGTGAGGCTCTGGTCTCCCCTCCAGCATGGTGCCTGGTCACGCTCAGGGCCAGCCCCTATACTTCCTCGTAGCTGTAGAGCCTAATGGTTAAGTGCATGGGTTCACATCCCAGGTCTGGACAAGTTACTTGCCTTCCTGTGCCTCAGTTTCCCCATCTGTAAAGTGAGGCTAAAAACAGTTCCTCCCTTAGGACTGCTGTGGAGCACTTGGACATAGTAGGGCTCGTCACATGGGTCAGTCATCATCAGCCTGGTGCTGAGCAGAGCAGTGAGTCTCCTAGTGGATGCTCAGGCTCACTTGGTGACAAAGGGGAGATCGGATGGGATGGGTGACACAAGCCACCTCCACCCTCACTGGTCTGAGGAAGCCCATCCCCAACACATACATTCCCAGTGCCCCATTGTGAAGTGCGTGTTGAGTCCCCCCACTGGCTGACAGCAGCCCCACCTCACCCCAGCCTCAGGGTCCTCCTTGGCCTGCCTCCCTTCCTCTCTCCTCTCAGCCTTGAGGACCCTCTGCCCCTTTGCCTGGGTCCCTGTACCCTACGCCCCTCTCTGCTCCCTACCCCATCCACACTCGTCCCCAACCATGCCTCACCCCACCTGCCTCTCCTGACAGAAACCTCAGGGCCGCTGAGCCTGCCCTCTTGGTCTTGAGATGGTGCCTTCACCCATGAGCAATAGGCCTCTCAGTTCCTGGGACTCGCCCCTGCCCCCACTTGTAAAAAGGCAGATTCTTGGGCCCCATTCCCGGAGTCCAGTTTTGTAGGTCTGGACAGGGCCCCGGAAGCCATGTTTAAACAAACTCCACCCCCCACACACACATTGTGTTTCTACACTCTGTGCTGTCCAAATACCACATACACGTGCGCAGCACTTGAAGGCTCTTACATGATCCTCACCCTGATCCACTGAGGACTCCAGGCTCAGAGACGGTGAGTGACTTGCCCACAGGCACACAGCCAGTAAGAGGCCAAGGGGGAGGGAATCAGGTCTTCCACCCCAAAGCAGGGCCCGAACCACAAGGGCACAGAGAGACCAGACCATAAGTGCTTTTTCTCCACTTTCCATCTTTGGAGAGCTCAAAGAGAAACCTTTTCCAACAGGCAAAATATATTTTTTTCTCCAAGAGAGCACAAAACCCTTCAGCTGTCCATGTGGCAGCCTGGAGCTTGGCTTGTTTTTTTCCTTAAATCAAGGCTGGGGAAGCAGAGCCGAGGGCCCCTTCCCCCCCCCGCTCTCCCTCAAGGAACCACTTCCAATCCAGTGGCAGCGAGAGAATGACCATGCACTGCACGGTGAGCTCAGAAGTCTCCAAGGCCCCAGCAAAGGAAGAAAGCACTAGAAAGCCGAAATG